TGTGTGGTAACATTACTTCCATGACAGAAAAATTTTTGATATTTTCCGTGACAATCAATTCTACAATAATCCAGCTGTATTATACGGCTTATGACATCATATTATGTCATCGGGCATATTATTCGCTTTTCTTTTTGATGTCTGATTTGGTTCGAATTGAAATTGTGATATTTTTTTGATTTCCTGTTTTTTTTACTTGAACTTCAATTGGAAATGATTTCGAAATTGTTCGTGAAGATTTTTTTTTTCTATCGACTCTACAAAATCAAGACTTTTTTTTTTTAAAAATTAAGATATTTGGACTAATCTATTTGGTAGCACTATGGTTTTCAAAGTTCACTTCAATATATATTTGAATAACAAAACCCAACAGCAACAATAATATTAAGACCGCAATTTTTAAATAAGTACTTATTCGTTTTTGTTCTGTTGATCATATTATATTTTCTGAAATTAGTGTCTGTACTGTTTTGTTGAAAACGTTCCTATAACTTACTAAGCCTTTACGTAGTAGGATCGTAATTCCCTTTTAACGATATAGCTTGAACGGTTTTATCAAAATTCCCAATTAATACTAAAGTTAAGAAATGTTTTTTAAAAAAGTTTTGATAAAACACAAAATAAGGACAAATTTTCTGTAATAAAATTTTAATATTAAAGTAAAAGAAAATTTTTATTAATAAATTTTTAAAAATTTCTCGATAAATTTAATTTAAAAATATTTTAATAATTTTCTTCATAATTTCATTTTGTTTGTTTACACAATAATTTCTAAATAATTTTGCCTTTCCCTTCTAGTTATTATTATTGAAGGTAAAAAACCAGAACGACGAAGGCCTCTTATTATTGAAATAATAGCGAAAATTACTTTATTATTTATTGACTTCCGTTTAAATTTTCATTTTCTTTTGAAAAATAAACTTTTTTTGTAAAAATGTTTTTTGTTAATTGGGGCTCTTCTGCTTTTGTGATATTTTTAACAAAAAAAAAATCTTACTGCTATTTTTTAATTATAAATAAAATTTTTTCAAAGAATTCGCAATATTTTTTAAAACTTTTTGTCAAAAGAAATTTTTTTTTATTTACACTTTCCTCAATTACCTTATTTTAAAATTTTCAAATATAATACAGAAGAATTTTTTTATAGGTGAAATTTTTCTTAGAATTTTGAATATTTATTAATAAATATAAGGTAACTCAGTTATTTTGAATAAATGTAAGTAATAAGCCAAAGGTAGCAAATTTTTTTTGGAATTTATTATTCGGCTATTTTTCCTAATAAAACTTTGACTTCTCCGAATACTAGTACTTTAACATAACTGTTTTATGTTAAAATATTCTGTTTTATGAACACGATAATTTTAAATTTCCGGATTTTTACTTTTGTTTTAAAATTTTTCATAATCAAAAATCTTTAAACACAGTATATAAATTAGAATAAGTATAACTTTCGAAAATATTATTCATATTGCAACAAAAGAACTGAACATAGGAAAACGCCTAGCTACACTCGCAGAATATCAGACAATATTTTAAAGAGTTCTTTCTCACTGCCACGACAATTTTAAGCCTTTTTTAAGGTTTTTGTCAGTCAAAAATAGTTGACAAAAAACCAAAAAAATTTTTGATAGACACTTCGCCCCAACAAAGAGCTATTTCAAAATTGCCTTGTCAGTCACTCTCGGAATAAATTTTTATTATTTTGAGAGACTGGGAAAAATTTTAACGGTGGAATGGGATTTTTCTCATTTTTAGATATCTATTAAAATTTTGACTCACAATGAGAATTTTAAATTATTTTATGAGTTTTATTTAACAAAACAGGAAGTTTTTTAAAAAAATTAAAGATTATGAATAAGTAAGTATAAAATAATTATTACTTTTTATTATAATGAATACTTGACCATCAAATTATAATAATGATTAAAATAATATCAGGGACTTCTAGCACAAACGACTTAAGTCTGTTTTAGTGATTTCGAGATAAATGCATTACACAAATCGCTTATGTCAACTTAGTATTTAAAAAACTCAAAATTAATTTTGCAACAAAAGCTTAACTCGAGATAAGCGGTTATAAAAATTCATACATGAAAAAAAAAATGTCACTAATTTTGATTTGCAACAATAGCCTATCTCGAAATAAGTGGTTTGTCAAAAACATAAAAAAGATGTTTTCTGCTCTTAACTCGATTTAGGCGATTAGTGCAAGTGCACATAGTTACCATTTCAAGTTAGGTCATGTGTGAATTCGACAATAACTCCGGCTACTATAGTCGTAGAACCACCAAATTTTGTAAGTATATGAAACTCAAAACGGAGAATTCGCTGGTAAACATATCTCATTTTTGTCTTAACTCGAGTTAGGCGGTTTGTGTTTGAGGCCACTGATATTTTAATTTGATTCCAATGGTCTGATTAATAAACAATATTAATAAATTTAATTGTCACGTACTCATACTAAATTTTTATTTTGTATTCTTAAATTTTTTTAGATAACACAATATATTAATTTAAATTTTAACAATAAAAATTAATTTACATGAAAAAAATTTCAAACAGAACATAAAATTATTAATTAATATTATTTCTAAATTAATTTAAAATTTAGCTATGTATATACATTAAAGAAAAAATTATTAAATACTAAATGCATACATAAGTATAACACAAAAAAATCAATTGCTTTAAGAAAAATTTTTCTATTTTTTTTTTAGCGTAACAATTTTTATTAAAATTGCAACTATAATAATAATTTTATTGTGAATAAAATGACCAAACTTTTATAATAAGATGGCGGAAATTTTAATATAAAAAATTTTAATTTAAATGATATTAAAATATAAGAAAATTAAAATTATGTCAGGGAATCTATAACCAAATATTATTTTATTGTGTAAAAGATTTATTAAAAAATATTATTAAAGAAATTCAATTTAACCCTTATGCGTCTCTTAAAAAAAAAATTCACTAATAATATTTTTATTTTTAACAAGCATTGTTGGTAAACAGGAGTTTGAATATTTTTTTCATATATTTTTCATGGATTTTTTATTAAAAGAATTTGATATCCTCTTACTATTTCATTAAATAAAATTTGTAGACGTTCAATTTTCAGACATCTATTTTTGTCAAATTTTGATCAAATCAAATAAAATTCATGAACAATACCTTTGTACAAGATTACTGTATTTGACTTTGATTTTTTTATTGCATTGCTACCAATTTTTTTCAAACAACAACTGAATACAATAGCCTGTGCTTTTAAAGCAAATTAATGAACTATATGTATTTCCTTGAAATCAAATAAAATAATTAAGATTTTAATATTATCTCATTCGCAATATTATAAACCTACAAATTTTTTTTATAATGGCCGCAATTTTGCAAAAGAGCCCGTCCATTAGGGTTAAAAATCAATTTTTCAGTTTGTAATCTTGAACAAATTTATTTTTTATTCACATTTAAAATATCAATTGGAATAATAATAAGTTAATTAAAAATAACGGTAAATGCATAAATTTGTAAATTTGTGGATCATTTTGTGTTTACTAAAATTATATTTTAATTAATTTTGTTTTATTTTTATGTTATTTTTTTGTAGTTTTTAGTTTTTATACTTAATTTACCTTTCTTAAAATTTTGTTAATTTATTTTGAAAATAATTTTTATGCTACCTAAATGTTTTCTTTATTTTTTACTTAGTTTTTTGAATATTGTTTTTTTTTTGTCATTTCATTTAATTTTTTTACACTTTGTTTTATTTATTAATTTAGTTTTTCGTTTCTTATGTTTCGTATGTAAGTGAGTATGTTTGTATGTTTGCAAATTGTTTATTATAATCTTCTATTAAATACAATACAGTTATTTTATTTATTTTTCACATATTTTTGTTTCTTGGTTCGGTTTTATTTTTGGATTCTTTCCCCAAGATTCAAAATGAATTTATTTTTAATTTTATTAATTTTTTTTTCTATTTTTTTATTTATTATTTACATTGACATAGAGTTACAATTTTTTATTTGCCAGAAAATTATATAACAGTTTATTGTAATTAATATCTTTACGGTGTTATTATGGTTTGTGTTTCTTACATTTTTGAATTAATAATATAACAGTGTTATCATTTACCGTTAATAGAACTATAAAAAAAAATGTTTTTTTTTGTGTTTTTGTTATTGGTTCAGTAATACTGGTTAAGGTTTTTCTGTATTTTTGGGCGGAATACTAGTACAGGAAGTTTGTTTAAATTTAAAATAATATTATAAGCCTAATCATGAATGGTCTTGTTTTTGAGGACAATTTGATTAAAACAAAGAAACGAAGAATTTTTATTTCTTTGTTATGAATTAGTCGGTTCGGTATAAAGTTTCTGTTCAAGAAAAATAAAATTTTCAGAAACGCTTTATAATAATATATAATAACAAATCGATAAGAAAAATTTGATAAATAATTTTGTTGCAAAAAATTAAGAGAACTAAATTGGAACAAAGAACTCTGCTGATTCATTACCTCTATCGTATAAGTTTGTCGTCTAAGTAAGTCCCTCCTGTATCAAATTATATTTGAGTATGTATCCGAAAAGAAATTATTTCTAAATAGATATTTCATTTAAGAATTTAAATTTTTTATTTTTTATTTTTTTTTGTATTTACTGAAAAATGAAAATTAAATGGAAAGAAAATACTCATAATATGGGGTTTTTGAGCTACGGAAATTTTTTAAGCAATAATAAGCGTTAAATATTTTTTACTTCTCAAAGACCTCTTTATTAACAATCTGAATTTTCAACCCGAAATGATTTTAAATTTAATAACTATTTTTGATATTAATTAGAGTACATGCATCTACATTTGAAATTCAAATAATTTTTTGTACATATTGAAACTATTCATTAAAAAAAACAAATTTGTATTTATCGAAAAACAAAATAAACGCTTTTAATTAACCTACAATTTAAAAACTTTATCAAAGTCAAATTATACAAGAATCGTTTAATTTTGAACATTTTTTGTTCTTTAGAATTTTCTAACAATATCACTGAAATGGAGAAGTAAAATTTTATAAAAAAATCTCATATTTTGTTTTTGGTTGTTATCTTTTCATTAATTAGTAGGAAAAGTTTTTTGGTTATTATACTGACAAGGTCGCTTACTAGTGAAATTTTGAACAAAATATTTTGAAAAAGAGAAAACATAATATTATTGTCCTTGCCGATAAGAGCCGCAAAAAAATTTTTTTCCTTTTTAATTGCAAAATCGTTGACGGTGAAAGGAAAATGCTCAATCTTTTATAAATAACGAAATAGAATTTAATTAAAGCACCACTTTTATACCCTGCACCTTCGGTTAGCTAGATTCATGGAACTTGGCAGTAACATGGTCAATTTGAGATAGCACTTAACATTGAAGTTTTTGTGAATGGTTTATAAAAATAAAAAAATTATAAACCTAGACGCATGAAATTTGGTAGTGGTATGTCCAATTATAGCCCAGATATATCTATGATGTTCTTATATGGATTGAGAGTTTCGGGTAACTGCCATACAACTACGAAAGCTAATTCTAAATATTTCATAAACAAGCCTTTGTGTTCAGGTTGTTAAGTTGCAGGGTATAACTCAGGTGCAGGGAAACGTTTTTACTTTACGTTTTGATTTTATTTCAGTTGCAATTATAATCATTTAGTAAACCTCAAAATTTATGAATTTCCTGTTAGCAATTGATAGAAAATTCGGAAAACCAAATATCTCATAATATGTAAGGATATAGTTAGGAAAGGAGTACATAAAAGGCTCAAGATAGTAATTGAGTAACTTAATTTGACTGGAATATTTGTATATGACAAGCAATAATTTTTCAAAAACAAATCTATTTACAATTTTGAGCAGAAATCCATAATCTGGTATAAAATTGTGTCCAAAAAATGTCATTTTCTATAGTTTAAATCATACCAGTATAAACTTAAAGATAATATTTTTAAAAATTGTTAAATTCGAAAACTCAAAAACAGCAATTCCTATAAACTATGCAAAATTATGGTCTTGTGAATTCTAGACTGTAAATTAAATTTACGTTCCTAAAAGCAGAGTTTGTGTTTTTTACTTTTTTCAAAGGAATGGACAGTTTCTTTTTAAATCAAATTTTTGCAGAAAACCTCAAACCAGTTTATCAATTATTTGTGAAAGTATAAATAAATGTTTTATTCTTAAATTGTAAAATTAAATATACTTATGCAAAACGATTAGCAGAGGAAAATTCGAGTGTATTGAATATAACAAGAAGGATTCACAAGAAACATTTATAAAAAAAAAAATAAAAATAAGATCAAAAAATTAAAAAGTTTTTCACTTCTTTACAAATTAAACACAGCTCTCTTGTTGCGCATACATAAGTGGTGTTCTAACAGTAACAATTTCTCTTGAATATTGCCCATTACCGCTACCGGGAGTAGATACACTATTTGTTGCATTATTGTTATTGTTATTATTATTAATATTATTATTGTTATTATTATTTGTATTTAATACAGTTGTAGGAGCTAATGTTGATATTGAAGAAATACTACCGGCACCACCAACAGCTGTAGGAAGAGTTTTTATTTGATTAAAATTACTACCACTAGTACTAGCCACCATACCAATAGGTGGTGGTGGTGGCGGTTGTGTTGTTGTATAATGACTATGATGATATTGTGGAGGCTGCGGTTGTTGTTGAGGCTGTAATTGTAGCTGCTGTTGTTGTTGTGATGATTTATTATGTGATATTAATGTATGATGTAAATTACTAGATGTTAAATTACTACCATGATGATTAACATGCGGTAATGTATGATGAAAACCTGATGCTGATCCTGTTATATTATTTGGTGGTATAATTGCATATAAATTAGTATTACCACTATTACCGGTCGCTATTTGATGTGATGGTATTAATATATTACCACTACTACCGACATTGACACCGATTGTACCAATACTTAATCCACTTGTACAACTATTATTACTTGGATTTACTGGTGATATACATGGTGGAAATTGTGTTGATGATGATGATGAGCATACAGCTGATGCTATTTGACTTCCTGTATTTGTTGCTGATGTTTTATAATGATCAATTTGTGCATATATTGTTGGCTCTTCGAAATAATCATACGATGGTGGTTTACGTGTTAATGTTGATGTATTGATAACATTACCACTACCACTACTACCACCACCACCACTACCACCAACTGTATTACAATTTGGTTGTTGAATTTTAATATTACCAACACCAACACAAGTACCATCATTGGTTATTGATAATTCAGCATAATGCAGTTCATCAGAAGATTGCTATACAAAATATATATTAAAAATTATAGATTTGATATAGGAAAAAAATAAAATATTGAAAGATTTCAGTTGCCAAGAAATTTTAAAAATCAATATTAAATTATTAAACTAATAATTGCAAATGTTTTATCAAACTACTAACAATATTTTTTTACACTACTAACCTTATTAGCTTGATATGTGACACGTTCGTCAGCAATATTTGTTGAAACTTCTGGTTCACTAGTTTGAGATAAATGACCGGAGGGTGTTTGATTTGCTGATTTCAATTTGTATTCTGCATCAACTGTTAAAGAAAAAAAAATGTTTTATTTTTTTTTTATTATTTTGCAAATATAAAATAATTGGTTTTTGCTTCTAATACTCAATAAAGTGAAAATAATTTTCAAAGATAACATGGCATGTGATTTTTAGTTTTCCAAATATAAAATTGCTGTAGGTAAGAAAATTTAAGGATAACACTTTTAATCCCAATTATAAAATATTTTACAAAATTTTAGATGATATGTGAGTTTTTAGCATTATTTTGTATTTATTCTTGAAGGAAAATTGAAAAGTAGAAATTAAAGATGCTGCAATAGTTTCTCATTCAATGTATTAATTAAGAGTCCTTTTTTTTAGCAAATTTACTTCAAATAAAACAGAAATGTGGAGCTATCTAATGAATGTATTACAGAAGTATTTTAAATATGTTAGTATACGTGAAAGATCGATTAAGTGAAGTAGGTAAGAGAAATAGAGCTTTAATTGCAGGTTTCGGATTAGATAAACAATAATAAATAAAGTTGGGTCAAACCAATGGTTTGTATTGTAGCACTTTTCCCTTCAACAAGTGAAAATTCTGCTTTTAAATACAATCTATGTGTACCTACCACACTATTAAAATTATTTTCATTCATATATAAAACTATTTCTAGGATTGCCTATATTTAGGATGACGCATATATGCAGTTTTTGAAATAAAGCAAAAATTAATATAAAAAGGGGTTAACATAATTCTCGATTTTAAGGTTTAATTGTGTGAGTTAAGAAAAATAATTATTTTTTTTAATTTCATGGAATTTACCGCTACCTTTTTGCGTTTATAAAAATTTCAAAAAACTTGCGGTTTCGGAAATATAAGGTGTCAAAAATTCAAATTTTACGAATTTCAAGAGGCGATAACTTGAGAGGGGGTGGAGATGGAAAAAAATTTTCTTCTAACGAAATAAACTATTTGTTAAGGTCTAAAAGCCCCTAAAATTTCAATCTTCTACAGACTGGGATCTAGAAGAAAAACGAGATCAAAAATTTGGAAAAAAAGACCTTTAGATAACGGTAAATTTGAACGGCCATTTTGTTTTTCTAAAGTTTAACTATAGTATACCGCGCTAGGGGAAGTAAGCCACTGCCTTTCTGCGTTTGAAAAATTTCAAAAATGCTTATGGTTTCATTGTAACAAATATTTAAAAAAGGCCATTTTTAGGGTTTTGGGAGGGTATAACTTCTAGAGGGGGGGAGATAGGTAAAAATTTTGTTCTACGGAAATAAGTTTCTAGTGAAGATCTATGTACGTATGAAATTTCAGCTTTCTATCTTCAAGGGTGTAGAAGTTTTGTAAACAAAAAAAGTGTCCACGGACGGACGGACGGACGGACGGACAGAGTGAAACTAATAAGCACTTTTTTCAAAAATTTTTTTGGAAAAGTGCTAAAAAGCAAATTAGGTTTTTTTAATCAATGTGTTGATATTCATACAAATTTTAGAACTGCACTGGAGATAATTGATTTAAGAGGGAATTTTTTAATACAATACAAAAAGAGCAAATTACACTTAATACTAAAAAAATTTAATGTTCGTACGCTAAATTTTTACAAAAATTTTGAGTTGAACAAGTTCTTTCAAATAAAAGAAAGAGTCTGGTTAGATTGGTCTCCCCAGACTTGAGATAATTTCGTCTTGAGACTGAAATGCTTCAATCAGAATATTATAGTCCCATTAACCAATTTTTTGCTTGACAGCGGCATTCACCAATTTACAAACTCTTCAGAAACTTTATCATATATAATAGGTCTAGAATTATATATGAGAAAAAATAAAAATCACATCAAATCCTACTGTAATAATATCGACTCTAAACATTTTTTGACATCCTTTCAATAGGAAGTAATTCGATAAATCTTAAATTATTAAAACTTTCTAAAAATTTCACTTACTCTCATTGTATGGTACAACATCTGGATTTTTTTCATCATACATTTCTTCTGAATGACTAATCGGTAATGATATTTTATCTTTTATTTGTAAATTGGCTGGACGTGAAAATTTTTGATTTTGATTCTGATATTTCTGTTGATGTTTATGTGTACGTAATTTCAATGCAGCTATTGTACCAATTCCAATGCAAATAATAGCAACTAGTATACCAACAAAAATTCCAATCGATAAAATCGGTGTTAATTGAAATTCATCTTTTGATCCTTTGAATGAAGTTAAAGCTACTGCAAAAAAAGAAGATGAAAGAAAAAGGAAAAACGCATATATAAAAATGTATTAATTATTTCAAAAAAATATTTTTATTAAAAAAATAAGAACTTTTTTTTTGGTAAATTTTAAATTTTTGTTGGAATTTTTTTTTGGAATTCGTTAAAACTTATCTTGTATGCTGAGTTTATAAAAAGTGTTCATTTACTAATGATATTAATAATTACAGTTGATCAGTTTAATTTAATTAATAAAACTTTAAAAGACCTGGTGAACCTTTACGAAATTAAATTTGTATTTGAGTATAATAAAATGGTGTGCTCTAATACCCTTGTTATGGATAAAAATGGTTCCTGTCTTGTTATTTCATCATTAAAGCTAGTATGTCTTAAGTGTTTTTTAAATAAGAAAGAGCTTGAAGAACAATAGCTTGAACAAAATTAGAAAGTCCGAATTATTTGTTATTTGCATATGAAAACCAAAATTAGTTTGATTGAATGGCAAATTCTTAAATTTTGAAATTTTGCTGTTGGGATGATTTTCGCTGCTGACTTCTTATCCAAGTCACATATTACAGAATTTGATACTCTTATGAAAAAAAATTATATTAAATAGCAAACTTGGAGTTTTAACCTAAAATACATTATGTTATTAGAGGGGCTAATTGAGAGACTCAGAAGCAAAGTGGCATAACCCTCACTCACAAAATTTTTGCTTTTTTGTAAGAAATCTATATAAAATTAGGTCCCAAATTCAATTATGCCGACAAAAACGTCAAGTATTTTCTATATTCCGTATTTTTTTTTTCACCTTAACCCAAAATGTAATTTTTTTTCTGTGCCATATTTTTGCCAAAATCTTGGGAGTGAGGGTTAAGCCACTTTGCTTCTAGCCCCCTCAATTTTATAAAAATAAAAACAAAAATCGCTTATAGTAGCATTTCTATACATGTACATTTATATCAAATAAAATATGGTACCGATTTGAAAACTGTTGATATAGGTATACATATGCATATGTTGACACCGAGTTTTATAGCCCACAGCAAAAATGTCATGAAAAATTAAATCTTAATATAATTAATTTTTAATTAATCTTCTTTAATTTCAACTCAAATCAATTGCAGATTCAAGATTTTTAAAAAAAATCTCAAGCGGAATGATTTTTGTGCTACCATTAGGATTGAGAATATTTCGTTTTTATGCATTATGTAAAACTCATTAAAGGTAATGTTGTCATAATGGTATATAAAAAAAAATATTTTCTTAAGGCAAAAACCACGTCTCTGATTTCCCACCAATGAAATATTTCAATCAGTATAAATCAATATTTAACACCTATAAATTAATAAAATTATACTCTCCCCATTTAAATTTAAACAAATATTAAAATTTTTGATTTTTGGTTTCCTTAAAAAATTCTGTTTTCTTTTTATTCTCTTTGTAATTTTCACATTCTAATGAAATCCTTTAAAATTTCTAAGTATTCGCAGGAGTAAAAAAACAAAGAAGAATAAACTTGTTTTTTTTTTTTCTCGATACAACGTAAAATTATTATGGTATACCGATAGACAAATAATATTGTACTAGTAGTATATACAGCTAGTTAAAGAAAGGAAAAAAAAGGCTAAATGTGTATTTATTCTCACACCACTTTTGTTTTTTTGTTTTTTACCTGTTTGCTTTTCAGCTGCTTTTAATGTATAACCTTCAAGTTGTACTGGATCGCTACGACCGCGCATATTTACTGAATAAATAAAAATTTTAAAAAATTTTCCGGAATCTAAACCATTTACACCCAAAATAGGATATTTAGATGAAAAATTTGCTTGTAGTATACCAGTTTGTTGATCAAATATTTCCATAAGGAACCATTGCCGGAGACCACCATCAAATCCTGTTGAGTAAAATAGAAGGAAGAAAAAATAGAAAAAAAAATGAAAATTGAATAAAAACCAAAGTACACAATAATCATAAAAATTGAAACGTGAAAAATTGATGAAATTTTCTTTTTTTGTTCTTTTTTATTCTTTGTATAAGTTTACATGAACATATTCAAAAATTTTAGATTATGTATCTACATAGGTACGAGTATTTAATTGAATGTGCAGTACCACATAAAAGTAAAGATATAGTTTTTTAAATGAAAAAGAGCTAGGACATTTGACAGCCTGCTGTTGTCATCAATATAAACACTCCTCCATCTAAATTTATTCTTTAATGCCCCCGATTCAAGTAATATGTGAAATTCATTTTTGCAAAATATTTTTTCACAAAACGTTTAAGTCATATGTTCAAATGTAATTAAATATTATGAAATATTCTTAGCATTAACAAAAGTTTAACAGAAACCCTCTTGTTGGTTTTTGTTTCAGTTAGAAAAATTTTCGTAACTCAAAAAACTCTCCAACACCATTTAAGCTACAGTTCGCGTGGTCGAAAACTCCTTAAGAAGGCGAATAACTATTGCGGCAATATGATAACCTTATCTACAAGCTCAACAAATTAACAGAACACCAACGGGTGAAAAATTTTAAAAGTAGAAAAATAGAAAAGTTATTAAAAAAAAACAAGAATTGCATTTGGTCATTCATAAATTGTCTTGTTTTCTTTTAAAAAATATGTTGAATCGGGTGAATCTTTCTGATGAATAATTTAAAAGTTCCCTGACCTAAGGATTATTTCATTAACTTATTCCATGAGAAATATAGAAGCTGACATTCGAAAATCGTAAAGCTGACATTTTTTTCTTTTCATAGAAGTTGTCGAAAGGGAGACATTTTTTATTAACACTCAAATATCCCATTCAAAAATTTTCTTTAAAAACATTGCACAATATCTTCCTTAATTTTACCTTTAACTGTTGACAACACAAATATCGATAGAATATTATTTATGTAAAACAAAGAAATATGGTAACGAAGAGGGATAAAAGATAAAAAAAATTGTATAAAGAAGGCAAAAATTAAGCAAACAAAAGTAAATGAAACAAAATAGGAAAAGAAAGAAGAAGAAGAATGAGAAAGGAAAAGTAAACTTTTTCAATATTGATTGGAAAAGTTCGAAAGGTAAACAGCGAATGAAGACAAAATAGCGGCATCCGAATTTTAACTGTTCTCCTTCTTTCTTTGTTTACATTTCTTTTTCTTCTTTTTTTTTTTTTGCCTTGTTAATTTTACTTGAAAATTTTACGTGTTTTCGCCATTTTATGTATTAAAGTCATAAAGGAATGGAGAATGAGTGACAGTTTGTTGAAATTGTTCTTATTGATAAGAAATTGTCTTCAAATATTTTCTTTTATATATACATACATACATTTTATATATACATACTCGTATATACATGAAGACCATAAATAACTCATACTTTCGTTACAATCATTTCTACATAAAAATTACCAAACTTATTTTATTTTAATAATTTCATATTTTGTATAAATATTTATACACAATAGCGGTAATATTTTTATTGTTTACCTAAAAGCTTAACTTCCTGGTCAAGTCACAAAAAATAAAAAACAAAAAATGATAAATGATAAATGGAGAAGCCGACACCGACAATAACGACAGCAGATTCGCTATACACTAAAATCAACAGATAACAAAAAAAAAAAAAATATTAAAATTATAAAACTGCCATCACCATCTTAGGTGTAAATTGATATTTTTTTAATTCGATTCATTTTTTTATTATTATTGGTGGAAGCGGGTGTAATGATTAAAAATATAAAGATGGTATATAAATGATTTAAAAAACAAAAAGACTTTTATATCTTCGAATTGATCAATAATAAAAACATAAGATGTATAAAATCTGCACGTTTTCACAATGTAGTCCAATTTCCCTTATTCTCAAGCCTTCTAGAAATCGAACTTCCTTAATAAAATTAGGCGTTTTCAAATACTATACGCTGTGTTTTCATTCAAAATTTTATGTTGGTTCCGAAATTATTTGTAATTTTTGGCAGGATTTGAGTTACAAAAATTCTACGATAACAAACTATAATAATATTCGAAACTATTAGAAAATTAAAATCTAATCTAAAATGTTAAAACGTGATGGCATGAAAAAGCATTTTGGTAACTATTTACATGAATATTGATTACAAAACTGCTATAATGAGAACAACCAATTTGCCAGTGGTTTGGTGGAACTTTGATTGTATAATTTTAATTGAGTAAAACTACCAAACTACTAAAACAAACAACTTATTTGTCCCTTGTTTGCTGGAATCAACGCAAATTAAATTGAATACGCTTTAGATTATAATATTGATTGCTGAATTTCTGCTTACTTAATTTGAGTTGATTGTGTTGTAAAATAACCAATTAGAGCTACATACAGAACTTTGATGTTTCAGAATAGCATTCTAATCAGTAGTATGTATTTAAATAACATTTTGTTCCAATTTCGTTTGCAGAAATTTTAACAAGGATCTTAAAAGAACTGAAAAGGTATTTAAAGAGAAACTTTAATTCTTAAAATTAAATGAAAAAATTAAAATTATCGCAGTCAAATTATCGAATCTTTTCCAATAAAAATTGCAACCACAATATTATAGAGAACGTAAGTATTTTTTTATGTTTTCAAGATTCTCAGTTGCTTCTTTCAAAATTTTGATTCACGTATAGGCATATTTCTCAACCAGTGAATATAGGACGAAGGTTATATAACTTTCCACTCACATTTAGTTAATATGAAAGGGATAAGGCAATACTCTATGTTATTGTTTTTGTGTATAACTCTGAATAAACGGAATAAATGAACTTAAATATTTAATGGAATAAGGAAATGAAAATAAATTTGTTCACTCTTTTCTGTAGAAAAAAAAACAAGGAAAAAAAATTGTCCACCACTATAAGCGTGCGTATATTACAAGAATGAAATGGAAAACGGGAAAAGAAATAAATAAATAAATTTTCACAAATTCAAACAATAACGGGAAAATTAATAACAGGAAAAAATGTCAAAATGTCAATATGTTATGCTTGTTATTTAACAATTTTTATGTTTTGAGTTTTTTTTTTATTTGTTTAATTCAACTGTTAACTGTTCTTTCCTTGTTGCCTTCTTAGAAACTTTAATATTTTATAAAGTTTTCAAATTTTAAAGAAAAATTCCCAAATTTATAAAGAAAACGTCGTCTTTCGTAGAACGAAAAAAATTGTTTTTTTTTTTTTTTTTAAGCATAAATCAAAAGTTAATCTTAAAAACTTTTTGCTGGAAATTTTTTCTTTTTTTAATTTTTATTTTGTCCTATTTAAATAAAAAAATCAGTTGAAAGCTTGCGATATTATTGATTTTTGTAATTTAATTGAAATAAAAATCGTACGACCCATTTTCAATATGAGAATAATTTTTTTTTTAAAAGACACTCAGATCAAACAGTAAGAGCTTAGTGGCTACTTTTTCAAGTTAACTATAAATTTGTCTTGGGTTGACATTTTGATATAGGGGCATTTAAAGTTGTGAGATTTTGCAATGGAAATTTCTAAAAATATAACAAAAAAATTTAACTACGTACCTAGTTTTTAAACAAAACTCAAATTTCTGGATTGAATTTATAATGAGCGAGAATTTTAAAGATTTAAAATAATTCTAGAGTATTACTATATGAGTATAGAAATTATAAACTAAATGTAGTAAACAAAAATAATACTTTTTAGTATTTTTTCGATTACAAACGCAAGCCGAGATTATAGGAGTTTTGCGATGTATGTACATAAGTGCAATTTAATTGCTTTTGGATGGACTCGCAATTTCAATCATAGTTACGTTAATTTGCGGAAATTGCTCACTTACTTAACAATGCAATTATATAAAACAAAGCCACGGCTGTACTAGGCAAAAGCTGTTTTGAGAATGAATTCGGCGTCCATAAATCTGTTTGACAATAAACCAAGTCTTTTAAGCCCAAAATAGCAACTGATTTACAATATAAATACGGAGGGAAAGTGCGTCTATTAAAGACTATCTATTACAAACCATAATCACTGTGAAAGTTGCCTTTATTCCAGATTTCGAGTTAAAATAGGATTGCGAGACAGCAAGGATTTTGATTGTCTTTCAGGAAAGAAAATTAGGAAAGTACTTATAAACTGATCCTATCTAATTTATCACAACTTATCTAACAACAACATGAAAACATTTACGGTTCAACCAAATATATATATACATATATACATAATCTTGATGGGGATTTAATTCTAAATTTTCTCGTTAGTCGGTCGCTGAAGTGGGCATTCAAGAACGAAAAGGATTCTTGGCACTTGAAATTTCGCACAAATACTCATTTTTATCAAATTCACTGGATTAGGTATCTACTTTTTTTGGAATAGAGAGATATTTTAGTTTTGAGCGAGATCAAAATTATAGTTTTTACTTGCGTTGTATCTAAAATTTACAAAACTCTTCAATTATAAAATTTCTCACTTTTTTTAATGTTTTAATTATTGATCTTTAAAATGAAATTTTCAAGTTTCTTTAAAATGAAAAAGTAAAAATTAATAATAATTAACGAGAAAAAATATAGTTGACCTTGTCCTATGTGCAAATAAATATGCCATAGCTGACTATGGGACAGATTATGACGTGTTTAAATTGCCGTATTACCATATTAATTTACGCAAAATTTTAGTACAGTGTTTTTTAAAATATTGTGTGTGCAAAACTACTACTGAAGTTGTATGGCAGCTACCAGAAAGAGCCAAGAAATTTTAACGAATTTTAGTAAAGACATCGGCCCTACTAAAATATTCGCTTGTGTGAAATTTCAATGCCGTATCTTTTATAGTTTCTGCGATATAGCCAAATAAAATTATAAGTTGTAGGGCAGTTACTCGAACCGGTACCCTGGTCATGTCCAATTTAAATTGGGTTCTGGCACTTTCTACAATA